ATTGAACAAACTTTCTTTGCTCCAATGCATAGTCTTTGCTCCTTTGTGAAAGATTAGTTGACCATAAATCTGTGGGTTTATTTCTGTATTTTCTATTCGATTCCATTGGTCTGTGTGTCTGTTCTCTTTCCAATACCATGCGGTTTTGATGATTATGGCTTTGTAGTATAGTTTGAAGTCTGGGAATGTGATGCCTCCATTCCCTTCTTTTTTTTTTTTTTTTTTTTTTTTCAGGAGAGCTTTGGCTATTCGGGGTTTTTGGTGATTCCATAAGAATTTTATCAATAATTGTTCTATTTCTTTGAAGAATGACATTGAAATTTTTACGGGAATAGCATTGAATCTGTATATTGCTTTTGGTAGGATGGCCATTTTAATAATGTTTATTCTTCCAATCCATGAGCAGGGGATGTCTTTCCATTTCTTTGTGTCTTCTATTTCTTTTTTTTTTTTTTTTTCTTTTTAAGATTATTTATTTATTTATACAAGCACTGGGTACAGTCAGAAGTGCGGGAGGGTGAGAGAATTCACCAGAGCAGGGAGCAGAGCAGGCAGACGGACGGAAGTATACTGCTGAGGGGAGCAGCGGGCGGCAGGAGAGGTCTGTGCGCCATGTGGGACCCTCCTCCGGTGGCCAGGGAGCAGCTGGGGATCGAACCAGCGCTGCAGTTGCTGCGGGCAGATTCGCAACCCAGCGCTCATTCGCTGCACCACCGGGGAGGCCCTTCTTCTATTTCTTTAACAATGTTTTATAGTTTTCTTTGTGTAGGTCCTTTACCTCTTTTGTTAGATTTATTCCCAAGTATTTGATTTTTTTGTTTCGATAATAAAAGGGATGTTTTTTTTTTTTGATTTCTTCTTCAGATTTATTGTTTGTGTATAGGAAGGCTACTGATTTTTGCATGTTGATTTTGTATCCTGCCACTTTACTGAACTGATTGATTACTTGAATTAGTTTTTCTGAGGAGTTTTTGGGGTTCTCTGTGTATGTTATCATATCATCTGCAAATAGTGATAGTTTGACTTCTTCTTTTCCTATTTGGATTCCTAGTATGTCTTTGTCTTGTCTTATTGCTCTGGCTAGGACTTCCAGTATTATATTGAAAAGCAGTGGTGAGAGTGGACATCCTTGTCTTGTTCCAGATCTTAATGGAAATGCTTTTAACTTTTCGCCATTGAGAATGATGCTGGCTGTTGGCTTGTCATATATGGCCTTTATGATGTTGAGGTATGTTCCTTGTATCCCAAGAATTTCAAGGGCTTTTATCATGAATAGGTGTTGCACTTTGTTGAAAGCTTTCTCAGCATCTATTGATATTATCATATGGTTTTTATATTTCTTTTTGTTGATGTGTTGGATGACGTTGATTGATTTTCAGATGTTGAACCATCCTTGTGTCCCTGGAATGAATCCTGCTTGGTCGTGGTGAGTTATCTTATGGATACATTGTTGGATTCTGATAGCTAAAATTTTATTGAGGATTTTTGCATCAGTGTTCTTTAGGGAGATTGGCCTGTAGTTTTCTTTTTCTGTGTTGTCCTTGTTCGGTTTTGGTATTAGTGTAATGTTGGCTTCATAGAACGTGTTTGGTATTATCCCTTCCTTCTCAATTTTTTGGAAGAGTTTGTGAAGGATAGGCACTAATTCATTTCTGAATGTTTGGTAGAATTCATTTGTAAATCCATCAGGTCCTGGGCTTTTGTTTTTGGAGAGGTTTTTGATTGCCATTTAAATTTTGCTGCTTGTAATTGGTCTGTTTAGGTGTTCTATTTCTTCTTTATCTAGCTTTGGGTGATTGTAGAGTTGTAGGAATTTGTCCATCTCCTCTAGATTGTTGAACTTGTTTCCATATAACTGTTCATAGTAGTTTCTGATTATTCTTTTGATTTCTGCTGTGTCCGTTGTAATTTCTCCTCTTTCATTTATGATCCTGTTTATTTGTGCTTTCTCCCTTTTTTCCTTTGTGAGCCTGGCTAGGGATTTGTCTATTTTATTTATTTTTTCGAAGAACCAGTTCTTGGTTTCATTGATCTTTTGGATTGTTTTTTTAGTTTCAATTTCATTTATTTCTGCTTTGGTTTTTATTATTTCTTTTTTTCTACTGGTTTTGGGGTTTTTTGGTTGTTCTTTTTCTAGATCTTTGAGCTTCAAGATTAGGTTGTTTCTTTGAGTTCTTTCTTGTTTCTTTTCTTTTTTCTTTTTTTTTTTTTTAAAGATTTATTTATTTGTTTATACAAGCACTGGGTACAGTCCAAAGCGGGGGAGGATGAGAGAATTCACCAGAGCCAGAGCGGGGAGCAGAACAGGCAGAAGGACCGAAGTACACTGCTGAGGGGAGCAGTGGGCGGCAGGAGAGGTCTGCGCGCCATGTGGGACCCTCACCCGGTGGCCAGGGAGCAGCCGGGGATCGAACCGGCGCCGAAGAGGCTGCCGGCAGCTTTGCAACCCAGCGCTCAACCGCTGCACCACCAGGGAGGCCCTCTTTCTTGTTTCTTGATGTGAGCCTCTATTGCTATATATTTTCCTCTTACTACTGCTTTTGCTGCATCCCATACATTTAGGAAATTGGTGTCCTCCTTGTCATTCAATTCAAAGAATTTTTTAATTTCTTCTTTGATCTCCTCATTAGTCCAGTGGTCTTCCAGTAGTGTGGTTTTCAATCTCCATGAGGTAGGAGATTTCCTTGCCTTCTTTTTATGGTTTATTTCTAGTTTGATGCCTTCATGGTCAGAAAAGATGGTTGGTATGATTTCAATCTTGGTGTATCTTTTGATGTTTGTCTTGGGTCACAGTATGTGATTGATCCTGGAGAATGATCCGTGTGTGCTTGAGAAAAATGTGTACTCAGATTTTGGGGGGTTTAGTGTTCTATAGATGTCTGTTAAGCCCAAGCGCTCTAGATCCTTATTTAGAGCTTTAGTGTCTTTACTTGTTTTTTGTCTCGTTGATCTATCCATTGTTGATAGTGGTGTGTTGAAGTCTCCCACTACGTATGTGTTTTCTCTGATGTCTGTTTTCAAAGAATGAAGATAGTTGTCTGATATATTTTGGTGCTCCTTCGTTTGGTGAATATATGTTAATGAGTGTTATTTCTTCTTGAAGTATTGTCCCCTTGATCATAATGTAGTGACCGTTGGGGTCTCTTTTTACCTTTTTGAGTTAGAAATCTGTTTTATCTGATGTAAGTATAGCTGTTCCTGCTTTCTTTTTTGGTCCATTTGCTTGTAGGATTGTTTTTCCTCCTTTAACTTTGAGTCTTTTGTTTTCTTTTGTAGCTAAATGTTTTTCCTGGAGACAGCAAAAGGTTGGGTTTTGTTTCTTAATCCAGCCTGTGACTCTGTGTCTTTTTATTGAGGATTTTAATCCATTTACATTTAGAGTTAATATTGATATGTTAGCATCTGTATTTGCCATTGTGTTTGTCTCTCCTTTGATTTTATTTATTTATTTTATTTATTTTAATAACTTTTTGGGGGGCCTTCTTTTGTTGTTATTTGTCCCTCTGAGGTTCTGGCTTTAGGACTCCTTATACTATTTTTTGGAGTGGGGGTTTAATCGTAATGAAATTCCAGAGTTTCTGTTTGTCTGGGAAGGTCCTTATTCTTTCTTCATAGAGGAAGGAGAGCTTTGCGGGATAGAGTATTCTTGGTTGGCATCTGTTTTCTTGGAGTCCCTTGACTATGTCCCTCCACTCTCTCCTTGCCTGCAGTGTTTCTTCGGGGAAGTCTGATGTCAGTCTGATTGGTTTCCCTTTGAATGTTATCTGTTTCTTCCCTCTTGTCAGCTTCATTATTTTTTCCTTGTCCTGGATTCTTGGGAGTTTTACTATTATGTGTCTTGCTGTATTTTTCCTTTCGTCATGGAAGTTTGGTGTTCTTCTTGCTTCTTGTATATCGATTTTCAGCTCCTTCACGTTTGGGAAGTTCTCTTCAATTATTTCCTTGAATATTTTCTCTGTTCCTACATCTCTCTCCTCTCCTTCTGGGATTCCTGTAACTCTTATATTTCCTTTCCTCATGGAGTCAGATAGTTCCTGAAGTCTTTCTTCAGTCTTTTTCCTTAATACTTCTGTTTCCTTTTCTGTTTTGGTTCTTTTTATTTCTGTGTCTTCAAGAGTACTTATTCGTTCTTCCATTTCATCTATTCTCAAGCAATACATTTTAAAACATCAGAATAACTCCATATCTCTGTGTGCTAGATAATGGGGAGCATAAAGAATTTTTCAGTTTTCAAAAATGACATATTTACTTTTATAGAATTGGTTGAGAGAGTTCATTTCACCATGACACTTTATTGGCGAAGATTGTTGATTTAGAATTGAATCAAGGGTCTCCCTGGTGGCCTAGGGGTTAAGTCTCAATACTATCACCTCTGTGGCCTGAGTTCGATCCCCAGCCAGGAAGCTAACCCACATATGGCTTAGAAGACCTGACCTGTCTTGCTCACTGCACCCCTCAACAGTGTATTTTAGACAGTCTGCCTGTTCTACTCCCCCACTCTGTCTCTGGTGAACCCCCTTCAGCCTACCCCACCCGCACACACCTCTGGCCTACATCCCAGTTCTTTTACATTAAAAAAAAAAAAAGGAATTTAATAAAACTTGTTAAATAGCACCACCGAAGTAAAGTCATGATATTGTGATTTTAACCCTTTTCTCGTGTATTCTTGTTGAGAAGCTTAGACTGACTGAGAAAATAACTGAAACATACTGTTTGTTTGATGGTATAAGCTTTTACATATTTACCCGATGTTGTGGGATAATTCCACTTTCTTATTTTGGATTTGGGTGAAAATCCCTGCTTGAAAATAAGCACTCCAGGTTCTCAGTTTTCAGGGGTGTCAGTTTTCTTCGCTCCTGTGTTTCCAACTCCTAACACTCAAACTGAATATGTTTTCTAAAATCTTGATTTTTTTTTCTTCGGTGTTTATTTTTGGGGAAGAATTTTTAAAAGGATTAGTAAGGTAACCTGTTTTCTTTTACTTTTCCTCTTTTTTCTAGACTACCTGTTTCAGGCCCAGAGTCAAGTCAACACTTTTTATACCTTCTTCGTGGTCCAGAAACAAGTATCTTTAGAATCAGAACAGAGGGGAAGCAATCTGACCTTTTCTTTATGAAATTGACTGTGTAAGACACCTGGTGTCCAGTCCCCAATACAGAGAAGTAATAAGATTATTATCCTGGCATCATTGGACGTTTGGTCACATTGAGAGCTTGGTTTGTGAAGCTTCATCGGTCAAGATTTGAAAACTTCGTTGGTGCTCACTTCTACCTTGGACTTTAAGCATGAGTGAATTCTGGTTGTGTTTCAACTGCTGTATCGCGGAACAGCCTCAGCCTGTAAGTACAGATTGGGTGGGGTGGTTATTAAAGCACACCACTGGTCCTTAAACTGAGAATCGGGATCCTCTCAGTAATTGCTGGGCAGTTCTGAGTAGTGTCACAGAGAGAAGTTCAGTGGGATTTGGAATATTTGCTTTAAAAAAAAGGAAACTAATGTTTTTTGGGGTAGCTACAATGTGTCAGGAACTGTGTCAGACCATTCATTGTACAGGGCTGAGAAGGTTGTACTCCTTTACCAGCTGCTTCTGGAGGAACAGTGGGAAGGGGAAACACCTGATGTTAAAACAGCAAAGTAGGTTGTGGACATCAGTGGGTGGGAGTTGTGGCAGCCAGATTGCCCTCTCATCCTTCTCAGTTTACAGTCTCATTTTTCTTATGGCAGCCCCCTGAAGAAGAGACTATTATTCTTCTTTTCACTTGGAATAGGTCCAGTTTTTTGCCCAGCATCATACAGATAGTAAGTGGTTTCTTGGCTCACTTCTGGTGTATGCCCCACTGCCAAGTCTACATCCTATCCTATAGACACATTGTTACTTTGGTGAAAAACCTGGCCTCCAACCTCCAGTTTTCTATTTATCTGTTAGTATGCCAAGATCAAATGCCATCTTTATAAAATCTTCCCCCATGTTCTCCTAATACCTCATGAATATTAGGTTAGCTAATACCTCATGAGTATTCCCTCTGGCTCTTCTTTAGAGGAACTGCTTGCATAGTGAATAACTGTTTTAAGTCTCTCTGTTTTGACTCTTTAGAAGCCCTGACCACATTTACTTTGTATATTCAGGATCAACTCTTATGCCTTGGAGAAAGTAGCTGTATTGCTAACTGGTTGGCTGTCTGCTGACTGGATGAATGCTTGAATTTATATTACGCACACGCAAGCATGCGCACCCACACACCCACACCCCCCTCCAAACTTCCCCCCAGCTGTTTTTATTATAGCAGGTAGGGTCCTCTCAGGTCTTTCCCAAGCCTTTCCCCAGGCATGCAGTCACTTTCTGATTTTCCTAGTATATGCTGTTTTTAAATAAAATGCCCTAGCCTTTCCTGTCTGGCCCCCCAGTAGGGGAAAAAGAGAAAAATGAAGGGGATGGAAAAGAAAGGGCACCCGCTTTTTAAATCCCCTGGAAGTCACTTCAGCCAGGGACTGGGAGCTACAACAAAGGCTTTTTGTTTGCTTCTCTGTGATCAGAAGCAAAAATTCTTGGAGGACAGGGCCCTTTTTTTTTTGGCCCACCCTGGTTCACATGTGCAAGCTGCTCCAGAAACACAGTTGGGTGTCACGTGGGTTTGGAAGTGGGTAACTGCTACTGTGCTATGTATGACCTGACATTGGCTGAAAATAACTGCAGTTTACGTTCCAACACCTCCCTGGAATTTGCGAGCATTGAACAGACTGCAGAGTTCTGAAATAGTTATTAGATTCTGTCAGTGCAGTTGGTGGAAGAGGGATGCAGATTCCTGGTGCTGTGGACTCCACCATCTTCCTTATATATTCCTTAATAATTCTGTCGTTTACTTGTATCTGTGTGATCCATGAGGTTTAACAATTGATGTGCGGTAGGGTCTAACTGTTCTTTCATGCTCATCAGCTATCTAAGGACAGCTTATTAAAGAGGTAATCTTTTGATTAGCAATTTGAAATCATACATTTATTACATATTGCACTGTCATATATTTGAATATTTCTGAATAGGTTTTTGTTTTTGGTTTTTTTTGTTTGTTTGTTTTTTTGATACTTTTGTTTATACCTGTGCCATTGTCGTGCTGTAGTCTTAAAAGATGAGTTTTTGGGGAGGGTGGGGGGTATTTTTAGCCATACTGTTTTAATTGCTTCAGTTTTTTTAAGTATATTTTGCTGTCTCGTAAGGACTATCTCTTTTTAGTTTCCTTCAACTATATTGATAACTTTTTTTTAAGCTGGATTGTTCTTAGGTGGATCCTTGTTATGTACTTTATAACACAGGTAAGTTTTTAAATTTTATTTATTCAGTGAACATTTTTTCTTCATATGAAGTATTTCATGATGAATATTTTTGATCTTGTGGGTGTTTAGAATCATGTTGAATTTAGAGTGTAATTGGGGGCCTCCCCGGTGGCGCAGCGGTTGAGCGCTGGGTTGCGAAGCTGCCCGCAGCCTCTGCAGCGCCGGTTCGATCCCCAGCCACCAGCGAGGGTCCCACATGGCGCGCAGACCTCTCCTGCCGCCTGCTGCTCCCCTCAGCAGTGTTTTTCGTCATTCTGCCTGTTCTGCTCCCCTCTCTGGCTCTGGTGAATTCTCTTACCCTGCCGCGCTTCTGACTGTACCCAGTGCTTGTATAAATAAATAAATCTTTAAAAAAAAAAAATAGAGTGTAACTGGGTGAGAATTGACATCTTTGAAGTCCTCTGTAATCCCTGTGTAATCCTGTTGAGAAGCCAGGCATGGGTCTTCATTTTACAGACATTTTCATATTATTTTGGTAAAGCTTAAAAATTTCATTATGTAAGCTTTGAACATCTCTTGTTAGTGTTTTCTAGCTATTTTATGGATTTTTATTACTATTCTAGTGAAATTTTATTTTCTATTTACTAATGACAGGAAATTAATGGCTTATGCATTAATTTTGATCCACATACATTACTGAACACTTAATGTTTTAAAAATATCTGCATATAGTGACAGTATCTTTTAATCTTTTTAGTAAAATGCTGTTGGTCTTGTACTGCATTGTCTAAGACGTGAAGTGCGACTTTGAATGGTGTTGGTGACAGCGGGACATCCTTGTTTATCCTGACTTTAATGGGAAAGTTTCTAATTTACTTAAGAATGAATAGAGGGCCTCTCTGGTGGCGCAGCGGTTGAGCGCTGGGTTGTGAAGCTGCCAGCAGCCTCTGCAGTGCTGGTTCGATCCCCGGCTGCTCCCCAGCCACCAGAGGAGGGTCCCGCATGGCGCGCAAACCTCTCCTGCTGCCCGCTGCTCCCCTCAGCAGTGTACCTTGGTCCTTCTGCCTGCTCTGCTCCCTGCTCTGGCTCTGGCTCATTCTCTCACCCTCCCGCGCTTCTGACTGTACCCAGTGCTTGTATAAATAAATAAATAAATCTTAAAAAAAAAAAAAAAAAAAGAATGAATAGATGTGTATTTTAGTGAATGTGTTTTTACCCAGACTTTTAAGTTTAATTATAATTTATCATAGATTACCAAAGATAATACTATCTAACAGTTTAAAAGATTATGGATACTTGAATTCTACATGTATTTTGTTGCTGAGAGTTGGACCTGAGGTAAGCTAGACCATTAGTGTGAGATTTTGTGTTTATCTGACTGCTGGCTCAGCCAAGTTCACTGTTGCTGTCGCTCTAGGTGTCAGGGGAAACAGTGTCCCCTGGTGTCCTTGTTTTTGTCCCCATCTTTGGGTTTCTCAGGATTTCATTTTGGAATATAGACCTGATTCTTTCAGTTGCATTCCCTGTTGTGCAGGAGCCTTGTGGGTGTGGTAGGAAGGTGTTATGGGAAGGCAAGCGTCAGGTCATGCTTGAAGAGGTTTTAGTCTTTTGGTGAGCCTATGCCCTGGGCTGTGTCCTGCATAAGTGCTTCTCTGTTTTGTTTTGTTTTGTACTCCTTAGTTGAGTCATGAAAGCAAGAGGGGTCTGGAGTTTGATCTATTTCCCTTCCTGTGCGTGCAAGGCTAGCTAGCTTGGGGAAGTAGGGTTGGATAGTTCTCTTCCCCAAAGTTGGTTAGTTTTTGGTAAAACCCCTCTGGTGTAGTAGTTTCTTTTGAGGGTATCTTTGTTAAGAACACATTATTCTAGGGCCTCCCCGGTGGCGCAGCGGTTGAGCGCTGGGTTGCGAAGCTGCCCGCGGCCTCTGCGGCGCCGGTTCGATCCCCGGCTGCTCCCCAGCCACCGGAGGAGGGTCCCACATGGTGCGCAGACCTCTCCTGCCGCCCGCTGCTCCCCTCAGCAGTGTACCTCGGTCCCTCTGCCTGCTCTGCTCCCCGCTCTGGCTCTGGTGAATTCTCTCACCCTCCCGTGCTTCTGACTGTACCCAGTGCTTGTATAAACAAAGCAAAACAAACAAACAAACAAATAAATAAATAAAACACATGCCTCTATAAAAAAAAAAGTTTAATAAAAAAAAAAAAGAACACATTATTCTGGCTTACTTTAAGATGGCTGTCTTTCCCCTCTCCATGCTGAAGTCCAAGGGAATTTTTTGTTTTTCACTTTGAGAATATGGTAGAGTTCCTGAGGTAAAACTCAGAGGTATGGCGGCTCCTCTAAGACTGGGCTTCCCTGAAGTTTTTAGCTCTCAAACTTGTCTGTACTAATCCTCTAGCAGTTGCTCAATTACAGTTGAGATTTTCCTGCACTGGCTCTGGATCTCCTGGAGGATTCTACTCATGGGTTTCTGTTTGGGGAAATTGTAATTTTCTGTACCTCCGTATCTCTCCAATTTGGGGAAACAATGGTTACTCTGTGATCTCAGTTCTGTAGTGGATCTAAGAAGAGTTGTTGGCTTTTGTTTATTAAGCTTTTTTCTGCTTGTTGGTGAACAGCAGTGACACCATCCATGCACCTCACATGCCATACCAAAAACCAGAAGTCATAATGTGATGTTTTTTAGGATTGATTTATTGCCGTTCATAATGTATGTAGTAAAATGAACTCTGTTTGAGTATGTGTTATATGCATACTCATCAACTAAGAAAGTGATAGATCAAGAATTTGAATAGCAGAAGCATAAGACTGTGGTATTATAAGCAGACATTAGAATTACATTTTCTGCTACATAAAGGATTTATAACTTGCGCTTTTTTCACATATTTAATATGTCAGTATTGTGCTATTGTTTAGTAATATGTTTGTATGAAATATTCCACCACGGACATCTGATTTATCAGCCTTTTTTGACTTGTTGAGAAAAATTATACAGAACTTAACAGGGCCATGTATTTACTATAGTGGAAGAATAGCTTGCTTCTTGGCATCAGGAAAACACATACAGGATGCACTA